GATTTCAAATTTGTGTGGTTAAAATAAAAAATCCACCAGGATACGCTGTCTGTGCGTTACTGATAGCCCTGTAGACTTCACAGTGGACTGTATACTGTGACAATGAGCACGGTGGTAAACTCTCTGGGCAGGTAATATGGTCTGCATTATATAGTCATAATCTCCACCACTGATGAACAGTAGCTTGAAACCACAATGGTATTCCTGCACCATTCGTTGTTATGTAAACACACAGACCACCGCTACGTGCTGCTATCCTTTGGTGTGATGTACGGTTAGCCCAGCTATCTGAATGGCTGCGTCCAGAATGCTGTTGTTGAGCCATGTTTCTGTAAAAATGAAAACACAGCAGTGATTTCACGCTGGGTTTCATGATGGTTTCACCCTGATTTCACACTGGTGTACCAGAACGAACTGTTGGTATAATTTTCTATAAAATCAATTCTGACAGTTTCCATAATAACAGCTTGCACAGAATTTTTTTATCTTGGACGCTCCACATAATATAAGGCTAAAAATAAATACATTTATTTTCAGTGTCAGGATTTCATCCAGTGTCAGGATTTCATCATGGTCAGTAGGTTTTCGGACACCGGGATATTTTTAGGACAACGGACATGCACTTTCTCTGTAACATAACTAGCTGCATTATTTTGTTTTAATAACTTCAACTTAGAGGTTGGTGAGGGAATGATTGTTTATAGCTGCTATAATGTAGCATTCAACTACGTTAACATAATTATAAGCAGATACAAATTAAAAAATTGTAATCATTGGCAAATTGCTGTGGTATAAGAAGAATACAACACTTCTGTTGTAGGGAAAAAAAACAGCTTTGGGTTGGTAACTGTAACTCTGCTTTGCATCGGGTTAGATCACACCTGTCCTTGATTATTGTTCTGCCACAGCATGCAGCCTAGTGTTTTTCTTTTTCATATTTGCTAAACATTTTTCCAAGCTCGACTGTTGGTCTTTGCGTTTTTGTGTGGAAGAGATAGACCCCCGGTGTCTTGCTCGCTGTTCATGTACATAAGCATTTTGCTGACTTTCTGCTTACTCAATCTAAGCAGTTTTGCGGGTGTGTGTGTGTATGTATGTGTGCGCATTGTGTGTATGTGATTGTGATCCCACCGCTCCTTGTGTTTGCGTTCCGGCCTGCTGAAAGCTCAGTTCCACTGCTGAACACTCCCCAACGTCTTAAAATGGATTTTCAAAGGTTTTAGTCACGAGCAGTCCAACAAACAGACACGCACACACCTGCGTCGCACCGATTGTGGCAACTGCTGCTTAGAAATTTTGCTTTCATCCCTGGTTTCTCTGTCTCGGTTGCACAGTGTTAGCAGTAATATTTCAGGGATTAATTTTTTGCTTTACTATTTTGTCATTTCAGCATCAGTGACAGCCTTAGTCGCTTCTTTCTTGTGGATCAGTTTGAATCAGCAAAATATCGTACCCCATATTTTCCCCATGTACATGCTCGTCAGGCACTTAACGTTTGCTTCATGTTAATCGAACTGAATAGAATGTGGGATAATGTTTAATTGATTAGGACCGACACTGCTGAGAGATTCAATGACGATCACCAATCAGGATTTCAGCATTCAGCTCTGCAGTTGACTGGTCTGCAGCTTTACTACTGCAGTTCCCACAAACGTGCCTTTTTTTCCCATTGATGTTAATGGAACGTTCTCAGTAGTTAATAATGCACGGACTGTGCATAAAGGATGTGCTGCATAGACACTATACTATAGTGTATATGTGTATGGCTCTTAAAATGACCTATAAAAGCTCATTTGTAGATTAATAGAAGCAAGTTGTATCTCAATCTACATCGGAGCTCGGCAATTTGAAAATGTGATACATATTTTTGCAAAGAATCTTGCTTCAATCTGCAGGTTTGTTGTCACATTAGAACAGTTTGTGATCGATAACACATTAAATTACAACCCCAATTCCGAAAAAGTTGGGACAGTATGGAAAATGCTAATAAAAAACAAAGAGGAGTGATTTGTAAATGTACTTTGTCTTTATACATTTTTGTTTAAGTACAAGTCAAAGTATTTGATGTTTTACCTAATCAGCTGCACAGTTTTTTTTAAGATAAACATTTTTTTTAATTGATGCATGCAACATGTTCCAAAAAAGTTGGGACAGGGGCAGTTTTGGACTAATAGCAATGGGACAAGTTAAATTAAGAAGGTGATGTGAAACAGGTGAGGCAATCGTCTAATCATAGTATATAAGGAGCTGGCAAAAAAGGCCTAGTCCTTCAAGAGCAAGGATGGGTCTGGGCTCGCCGATCTGCCAACAGATGCATCAGCGAATAATCCAACACTTTGAGAACAACATTCCCTAAAGACTAATCGGTAGGATTTTGGGCATTTCACCTTCTACACTGCACAATATAATTAAAAGATTCAAGGAATCCGGTCAAATCTCAATGCGTAAAGGGCACATCTGAGATGGACAGTAGCACAGTAGAATCGTGTTTTTTGATCTGACGAATCAACATTTCAAATAGTTTTTGGACAAAACAACCATCGTGTTTTACAGGCCAAAGAGGAAAAGGACCATCCAAGCTGTTATCAGTATCAGGTCCAAAAGCCAGTGTCTGTCATGGTGTGTCAGTGCACATGGCATGGTTAACTTGCTCATCTGTGAGTACATCATTAATGCAGAAAGATATGTACACATTTTGGAGTAACATATGATGCCATTCAGAGCAGGACCAGGCTAAACCACGTTCTGCCGGGATTACAAGCGCATGGTTGTGTAAGCAGAGAGTGTGAGTGCTAGCATTGTCTGCCTGCAGTCCTGACTTGTCAACTGAAAATATCTGGCACATTATAAATAGAAAATAATGCAACGAAGGCCCCGTATAGGTGTGCATCCGAAGAAATGCGTAATGGATAAATGGGGGAAAATTCCGCTTGATAAACTTAACCAACTGGTGTCTTCACTCAGCACCCAATCTCTTAATAAATGTTATTAAAAGAAAAGATTATGTTAAACAGTGGTAAACAGTCGACTGTCCCAACTTTTCTGGAGCGTATTGCAGACATCATCAGATTTGAAATGAGTGTATATTTTCATAAAATAAATAAAAATGTGGGAATACACCCTGGATGGGATGCTGGGCCATTACAGAGCCATACACCATACACACTGTTTCACACCTAGGGGACATTTAGTGTTTTAGTGTGGGAAGATTTAGGGAACTTCACATAGACAGAAAACTGAGCTCAGGATCAAACTGGGGACCCTGGAGCTGTAAGGCAGCATGCTCACCATTTCTTCACCATCCCACTGCTAATGTTTCCACTTGTAACGTCATATACATGATTTCTGCTTAATGCTAGCTAGAGGGTTTTTTTTTCCCTACAAGCTCTTTTGATAATTGCGAAATGGTGTTGCATAAATAACTGACTTTATTTAGGTCTTTTAATTCCTTCAGTCGACATATTCAAGGTTATAAAGGAATTATTTCCCATACAAACATCAGCTTGCTCATTGCATTTGTTGCTGTCTCCATGAATAGTTGGACAAGAAGAGATACTGTAGAGATTACTGCAGGGAAACAGTTCAAATTTAGCTAGACAGCTGCAAATTTCCAGAGATAATGTCGATAAAACAAAATGTCAGTACTGGTAAACATTTTGATTGCACATCTTTGCCTGAAGATCCCAAGAGCATCACTGCTGATTCAGTTTCATCATGCTGGTAATCACACCTGATATCAGAGGCATAAACCATTCACTCTTGTCACTTTGCCATTGGCTGGATCTCTGCAGGGTAGAAAGGAGCATGTGTTTTTTTAATATATTTTTTATTTGTCCTACTTGTAAAGCGCGCACACAAACATTAATGAGCCATGACATTAAAACCACCTGCCTAATATTGTTTAGGTCCACCAAGTGTCACCAAAACAGCTCTGATCTCTAAGACGGCATGGACTCCACAAGACCTCTGAAGGTGTGCTGTGGTATTTGTCAGCAAGATGTTAGCAGCAGATCCTTTAACTCCTGTAAGTTATGAGGTGAGGCCTCCATGGATTGAAGGTGTTTGTCCAGCACATCCCACAGATGCTCGATACTGGGGAATTTGGAGGCCAAGTTAACACCTTGAATTCTGTCATGTTCCTCAAACTATTCCATTAGGTGCTTTCTGTGGTCGACAGGGGTCTGCAATCTGATCGGTCTGTGGCCACGTAGCCCGATAAGCAGCAAGCAGAATTGCACTGTGTGTTCTGACACCTTTCTATCATAGCCATCATTATCTTTTTCAACAATTTGTGATACAGTGGCTCTTCTGTGGGATCGGACCAGATGGGCTGGCCTTCACTTCCCACGTACATCAGTGAGCTTTGGGCGCCCATGGCCTTGTCCCCGTTTCACCGGGTGTCCTTCCTATGACCGATTTTGGTAGGTACTAACCACTGTATACTGGGAACACCCCGGTTCTAAGATGCTCTGACCCAGTCGTCTAGCCATCACAACCATGTCAAAATCACACATCTTTACACTTGCCAATTTTTCCTACCTCCAACACATCAACTTTGAGAACTGACGATTTACTATCTGCCTGATATATCCCACCCGTTGACCGGTGCCATTTATCTACATGTAATTAATAGTAGATATAGTCGTTAATAGTAGTTACGTAGTATATCTTTGACACAACAGAAATGGATCAAATAAATGCCTTCTGATTTGAAGCACAAATTTTAAAGCCATGTCATTTATTATTAATGCTCACAATATAAATAGTTTAGGTCCTATTAATATTTCATGATGGCAGGGGAAAATATTTGGGTGATTGCTGGTAAACTTGATGACAGTGTCTTGAGGCGAACACACTGCTGGTAATAATTATAAATAAATATGTGTTGTGTTTTCCAGCGATTGTGCTATTAAATTCTCAAATCTGGTTAGTCAGAATGTGTTGATCAATGCTCTATAACAGCAGCTCTGACAGTAGTGGCAGCATGTTACTATGGGGGCGGTGGTAGCTCAGTGGTTAAGCTACTGGACTATTGATCAAAAGGTCATGAATTCAAATCCCAGCATCACCAACTTGCCCCCATTGGGTTCCTGAGCAAGGCCCTTAACCCTCAACTGCTTAAATACACTGTATAAATGAGATAAATGTACATTGCTCTGGATAAGGGCATCTAGCAAATGTAAATGTTAAATATATATTTTTTTTATAGTAACAGCTTACACCGAGTTCTATGACCGTTGTGTAATGTTTATTTGGCATATTTAGAAGTAGTCTCTAATGTCAGTGCTTTCTGTCCTAGGTAAAGCTGTTCCTTTAGGTTTTTCTCACTGAGAACGTCTCTAGGATAGAGGGCTTTGCAGTTTCTCTGTAGCATGACAATTTGTGATATTTTTTGTTTTGTTTTGTTTTATTAGAGGAAGGAGAGATTTGTAACGGAATGACTGTTTATACAGTACCTGCTATATAATAAGTGATAACAGGAGATGTTCCACAACATTAAGCATAACTATAAATGGAATAAAGTACACCCCATATTGTTTTGTTTCTTATATAAAGAATCTATATTTAATTAAATTCTAGTAGCATCAATTTATTGATGTGCAAAATGCGTAGGCAAGTGTATGGCTGCTAAAGACTTCACTTTGCATACTCCAATGCTTTTCCTTTTTCACAAGGAAAGATGCACCGGGCCAGAGAACAGCATCAGCATATTTAATATCCTGGGGCTGAGGAGATGGTCCAAGAGCCCAGTCATGTTAAGACAGGACTGTAACACTAGTTCCCCTTCTGGCTGCAGGATCAATTCCTACAACCGCATATGCTTCTCTGAGTTGAACCATAATCTTTTGGTTATAGGTGCAGGTCTTTAAAGGAGTATTCAATACTCTTTTCAGCCTAATCTCAGTCTACTACATCTGGACCACGGACTACCACAGAAACGAATTATGACACATTTCCCTGTACTGACAAATGAACAGAAAACCAGTTAATTCAAATGCTACTTATAATTGATGTCTAATTTATGTCACTTATTTGAAGAATGCTTACGTCAAAGATATTTGTAAAGTAATCTTAAAATCAGTATACTTCATTCTTTACGAGATCAGACTCCTTTCAGAAAAGTGTAAGTAACCAGAACTACCTGTAAGTGTTCAAAAGTTGGATAAAATGACAGCACAGCTTTAGTAAGACATTTCTTTCATCCTAAACATTTTATTATTAGAGTGTAATGGCTGTTGAAGCCATGTTGATATAGTTACATAACTTGCACTGCCCTCAGACTTGCATTCTAAATGACTTGCTAGCAAACAGTTTTTTGTTGTTGTTCTTTTCCCAGTACAGGGACATGTCAAAATAATTGTCCGTGATGGTCACACATACAGTATGTTCTAGATGCAGGGGGTGAAGAAAATGCCAGAGTATTCCTTTAACGTATGGGAGCAAAAAAGCTTGGTCCGGTTGTGGTTACTTGAATAAATTTCTCTGTTTAGCATCACTGATAGACAGCATGTAATGTCCGTGTGAAGTTTTGTTTAAAAGCTTAGTTGTTTTACTGTTTTCCTGTACTGTTCTAATGTTCCCTAAACATATATAATATTTTGATTAATTATGTCACTATAATTTTATGATGCATCTGAAATACTTTTATAACATTGACTTCATTGTTATATAGTTACGCATAGTCACCATCTCACTAGATAGTGAGTGCGCTAATTTCCCTTGAATAATTTTTGTAAATATTAGACTCCCGAGTAGCGCAACAGAAAAGTGCTCCCCAATCAATGGGAAATCGCACATTTGATGCCACAGCTATCCATCCATGGACCATGGCAGCAAAATTGACCATGTTCTGTGTGTGGGTGGGATTGCATACTCTCTCCCCTGTCAATTACAGTGACACTAGCAAATCATGGGTGTCTGTGAGCTTATGTATGCAGAGAAGGGTAGATAGCTTTTACATTGCCCTGGCAAGTAGATTAAAAAAGGCTGTGTAATTTGTGTACTCTGAGATGTGTGTGTGTGTGTGTGTGTATGTGTGTATATATATATATATATATATATATATATATATATAAATAAAATATCAGTATATACACAATATGTGAATATATATTTTGGATATATGTAGATATATTGTTTATCGCAAAATGCTTTTAAAAACATATAACTGCTTAGCGCTTAATCTCTCTCTCTCTCTCTCTCTCTCTCGTCCTTACCCATTGATGCGCATAGGATTATTGCTTCCATACTCCATTTGGCTATAAATAAAAGTACTTTATTCTCGCCCTCTCTTAAACAAATTGTTTTATGGTAAGTGATTTACTGTACAGATACACACCCCCACACCTCCATTTCAGTGTCTCTGGTTATCTGACCTGGCTATCTGAGCAGGGGTCAGGCCAGAGTGCATCAAGGTTAGACTCTTACGACCAGAGAAATCCTAGTGAGACGTATTAGCTTTTAGATATCATTAACCATTTATGAGATGAGAGATATGTGCCGAGTCTCCTTTTGCTGAATTCACATTGTGTCCTAATAGATGTTAATCTATGGGTCTCTCCGCTGTAGCTCTTTGTCAAATGAGAGATCAGACCTGTGGCTGTTTTAGAGGAAACAATTAACTCTCCTGCTTTCTGTGGACTCTGACAATTTGAGCACTGAAGAACACAAACCAAGTGTTTAATTTCATCTGTATGTTATGGAACAAATGGAATGCTGTACTCGATTTCGACTTGAATTTTATTGTTCGTAATGAGCATGTTCTCAAAGGAACAAAAGATGTGATGGATGTCCACTGTGACTGTCTCACAGACTCCCTAATGACTACACTTGATAAAGTGGCCTATCTACATGTTTTTGCACATCAGTGATGACAAACATCAAATGTCTCTCTGTGAACTGGCAGTGCAGATTTACAAGCACATACGATGGTACTGGTTCCGAAGACTTTGTGCTCTGGACAGGTTGTGATTTTCTGGCTATTACAGTGTAGCATGCGCAGGTTTTTAGAAATGGAGTGCAAATAATGCCAGTGGAAAGAACACACTAAATCTGCACTATGTTTTTCAAGAATAAAGAAAATTAGTATATTTATACTTCTACTATATAAATATCTAAATCTGGCTGTGTATTTCAAGTAACTGGAAGAAAAACATCGCAAAGTTCATAAATATAATTAATAAAAACTGAAGTCTTTTTAGGCCCCTAGAGGCATAGAATGGTTTTAAAGAGGCTCTGAGTACAGGATTAGCACAGTCCCCTCCTTCAGATATGTTAATGCTACTGCTTTTAAATCCACAAATATCAAGCAAAGGAAATTGAAATCAAACAACCTACCCCTGTGCACTGATGCAAGCAACTCTATGATATTTGCAGGCAGAGGATGGTTTCAGAACAGGAGCTTTGGTGTTTATGCATGAACTCAACCCTCGAAAGATGTTTTTTGAAAGGAGCTTTTTTTTGTTTTGTTTCCATTTGTTGCCAGCTTTTCAGAGTGGCACTATGTATAAGACAGGGTTGCATTTCCAGTCCATCTGATGTGTTACAAAATAAATGGCCACATAATTACATTAGTGTACTGGATTTTAAGTTGCTCTATAGTACACGTTGATTTTGATAAAAAAAATAACAGTGCTTCGGCAGTTATCTAAATCAACATATGCTATATATGGTGGTCATGCAGCGAGTAGTGTTGCTGCTTCGCAGCTCTAGGGTTCAGGTTCGATCCTGAACTTGGGTCTGATTTGTGTGGGGAGGGTTCCTTCCATCTCTCCCCCAAAAAAACATACTTGTAGGTGGACTGGATTTGTACACCATCCAGTGTTTATTTACATCTTTTTCCCAGAGTTCCTGTGGTATTCTCCAGATCGTCTGCAACCCTGGCCTGACCTTGGTAGATATGTCTTATGTTCAAAGACTAGGGGCATGAGGCAGGGGACATGTTGCACGTCCTGCCAACACATTGCAGAGCTAATTCACACACCCATTCACACACTACGGACAATTTTTATGGATGCCAATCAGCCTATGACGCATGTCTTTAGACTGGGAGAGGAAACTGGAGTGCCTGGACGGAAGCCCCCCAAGGCACAGGGAGAACATGCAAGCTCCATGCACGCAGAGTGGAGGCTCCCAAACCTGGAGGTGTGAGGTGCTAACAGCTAACCCACCGGTTGCCACCCCCCCTTCCAATGCTAATATATTAATGAAAAAAAAATAATTATTATAATAAATGTCATCCATAAGCTTCACACTGGGATCCACTGCACCAAATTATTCATTACTGAATTTATTCTGAACTTGAGTCCTGTTAAAAGTTACACTGCTATACAGTTTTCTTGCTAGTTTTCCCTGCTTGAAACCCACCTGATCCAGGTCATCAACTCATTACTAAGCAATCCACGAGCACGATAATATAGCAGCTATGCAGATCCAGAACTGCACCTCAGTATCCTGTATAAACTGTTTGCTCTGATTTGTGGAGCTACTCTTTTTTGCCAATAGAGGGCAGTCCATCCTCATTTTAGGTATTCTGGTGCAGCTTTAAAAATTAACTACATTCCGGTGCCTTTTTCCAGGACTCTTATTCACAAAATGCTCATACTGAGCATTCTTTAAACATACTGAATACTGTTTGTCTTTACTCTGTACACTCTAATGATTTATAATGACGCTATCCAGTGTGACCTAGAAGAAGATGGGTTCTGTACTGGTTCCTCATGTTGTCTCAGCAAGAGTTGTCTTTCCACTGTCGCTTCTGGCTAGCTCATTAGGGAGCTAATTTTACATCTGGATTTCTGTAAAGATTCTGTAAAGCTATAGTTAAAAGTGCTATAATAACACTGAATTGGATTAACATACTTTTGTAGCTAGTTGTTTTTAAATAACTAACCTCCACTGTTCTCCAAATAAGCATAAACCTACAGTAGCTTGTAGCATAGGATTATACAAAATATATAACATATTTCCATGTACAGTTAGAGGATTTAACAGAAACCCTTATCTAATATCCGTACACTAGTACAAGTAGGCAAGGGTTTAAGAATACTGTTTTTGATATATATATATATA